TAAGAGCGTTTTATAGACTTTGCGTTACTCAGACAGCTGTTTTCTGGATTCATGCTGCGTTTTGAAACGGTACATCGATCATTAATGGAGCAAAAATTAGGCATCTGTGAAATAGCGAAACAGTATGAAAACCAGTTTTCTTATCTTACTCATAATTACCCGTGGATGTGCCCACTAGACGTGCGCGGCGTTTGTGGATTCAACCAATAATGCCTCAAGGTCATGATCACAATGTTCTTGATTATTATTCGCAGTCACGAATGCGTCGAAACAAACAAAACAAGAATTCATTAGTGTCAATCGATGAATATCACGCAATCCTTTACCAGCGTTGCTAGCCCAGGGAATTCGTTTTCTCCTCGCTTGTCCAGGCGCGTGATAATTCATGTGCGTCCAGCCTGCGCGGGTGGGGTAGTGATAACACGCTGTCTGATTTGCGGAGTTCAAACCCTGGCAGGGCTAAGGATGATGAGCGGAACTATAGTCCAGTGCTTCGTCCACTTTGGTGTGGACTCATGAGAATGAATAATTGTCCGAGGACAGGACGAAGACTGTTCAAATCAGAATGATGAGAACATGAATTTTAGAAATGCTACAGCTATTCACAACGACAAAAAACTCATTTTGGTCAACAAAGATGCCGCCGCAGATTCCAGATGCATGATAACAAGGTGCACTCGTTTGAAAATTATGGTTGAAGTTTTCTGGACATATTATCTGAATAGAATTATGAGAAAACCGAAGATTTGCCACGCATCTTTAGGATAATGTGAGAGTCTTGCAAAGCTAAGTATATAATCCTTTACGAAGCCAATAAACCCTATCAGAATGAGAATAACGCAAGCTCAGCAACTGCCATGCGATCCTCTGCATTTGGACCACGTGACCATGAGAAAGACCCTTTGAGTGAGTAGAATGAACAGGCGTGCCGATGTTCAGATCTTGTAAAATCACCAGTTGGAAGAAGTGGCGTTTACTTGGATAAAATACATGATGCAGACAGATCAGGTGACTTGGTTGCCTTCTGCTACAGTATGTGAAGAAATTAGAGGGATTCGCAGTGTCTGTAGTTATATCAAACGAACTTCCACTGTTTGAGGACTACTTCTGTGTCAGCTAAGTTACATTTGGTTACATTGAACGAAAATTTGATTATTTCGACTTCAGGACACTTGGAGATACTTTTTTCTAAAGTTTCATGAAGCGTGTGTGAGAAAAATTATGGTTTAACGCAAGAGCGCTACGTTAGGTACCATCTAGTCAATGAGGTAGATGATACTCCCACGATTGCGTTTGCCAGACTGTTATCATGAATAAGGTCATAAATCCACTTGAAGTATGTCAGAAATAATGATAAGACCTGTACACGACTGAAACATACTCGTCGCCAAACTGAATGAGCGGAAAGAAATCTTGCACTTTCGCGGCAAAGTAGAACCATCCAGTGATAAGTAACAAGAGAGATCAAGGGCCCCGGATTGAAACGATTTCTTCCTTAGTTTGGACGGGACTTACCGGTATTTTGAACTTTCAGCACGTGACATAGTGTTTTGAGAATTTAGCCGAAATTGCGTGTTCCAAGGCGTGAAGAAAATCAAGAAAAACGGGCTGAATCAAAAGCGTTTCACACGTTCAATTTGCTTTGACTTCCACTTAATGTTTCCGGTGGCCAAGCGTCCCTGTGAAGGTCACCAAAAGAATGAAGCGAATGAGCAGACCTAGCTTCTTGTGATTGTCCATGCCACCTCGACTGTGCATGCAATTAGGCAGGAACCGTACAAGATTGGGTATATCCACGGGGCTCATAGAAACCACCCGATTGATTAGATACCTTCACGAAGAGAAAAGGAGTAGATGAATCGATCGGCCACAGGGTCAAATCGAATGAGCCACGGTCAGGCTGCTCCTGTAAACAGAATTTAGTATGATCCAGATTACTGTATGTCCCAAAGGTCACCGAAATCTGGCCAATAAAACCGGAATTGTGTGTTCAAAGAAAACCTGTGACATTGTGAGGAAGGTGATTCCCGATTGGCCAATCACATCCGTGGATACCAGATAACCTTTGGAGACCATACAAACGTATATAAGTAGGAAAGAACCGCTCACACAACGAACTGCTGATGCCCCTCCAATGATGATGAGACTTAGCAAACTCACTGTGAAGTGAAGCAATAGTCACCTACGCAACAAATATTTGTGCGACTCTCAAATTTGTTGAGTTATTCTATCTCCAAGCCCTAGTCTGACTGTAACGCCGACGACTCACCTCTATAACTCACTGACCTGTGGATCTCGGCTTCAGGCTTACCTGAAACTGAATCCTCTAAGCCACTTGAAAATAAAAAAAAATGGATAATGCTGTTTTTTGGAACACAAATAATCTCTCACTAGTTAATCACTATTACAAGGTGCCGATCATGCAAACGGCCAGGATAATGCCCATTGGGATACCGTGTTTTCTTTGTGTAAAGATCACCTCCTGGCTAGATCAGCATTTGAAACAGACCACACTTATTTTTTCATTGTGTTCCTTTTCCGGCTGTTTTTCTTCGAAGGCGTTACCTCTAACACGGTTTTAAGTCATCCTCTGAAGCAGACATTTTCCAAGAAGTTCCTGCAAGTCTATAAATCATTTTGGGAGTCACAAATAAGTTGAAGTTTTCAAGTTTTCAAGTATATGTCAAAACTTCCTATATTAGGAAACCGGAAATTGATCTGAGATTGGCAACTTTCCGTGGGACTTGCAGACTGCAATTATCGTTTCTGAAGCTAGGTTGTCCTGCCGCTTGGATGTTCATAGAGTGCACGCACCATGAAATACAACACGGCTGATCAACTTCACATCAGGCGTTCAGCTTCATTGGTAGCTGACAATCAGTAATACTACGGCTTCAAAATATACTGGGATCTCATACTTGCCACTCAAAGCATCCAAGTGTTTTTGAGATCAAATTATCACTAACGCAACTTCATGTGTTTAGATGGGTGTCATACGCAAAATTCTTTCACAAAATTGTTAACCTGGGATGAAGAATGTAGCCTCTATTCAAGAAATACACTCATTTGCAAATCATACACTCATTATCAATTTGGTTTTTCACGAAAGACTCAAATGAATCTCTCGTTTATGATATTCTACAACTGAATGTGCTGCTGATGGAAAGGAAACGACTGCGCCTACCTGATGAGCCCCAAAAAGGGGCGAAACCGGTCGTGGGCTGTCAAAGAGTTTTCATCAACCTTGTGAGTAGTTTCCTTTATGAAAATATACTGCGATGTCTCGAATATCGTGCCAACCGAATCATGAGGCGGTCTGTGTGCAGCAAATTCAGTTATAGAATATCATAAACGAGAGATTCAGTTGAGTCTCTCGTGAAGAACCAAATTGATTTGCAAATGAGTGTATTTCCCGAAAAAAGTCCAATTTGGGTTTAAGTAGAACATAAAGTTGACGGAAACTCGGGGTCTGCGCCTACCTGAT